ACACTGTTGGCACATATTTAGTTTATGGTCCACTGTAACCCACAGGTTCTTCTCTACAGTACTGCAGCCTAGCCAATTGTTCCCCGGTCTGTATGTGTGCACACAATTATTCTGTCCCAAGTGCAGAACTTTTTACTTGTCCTTGCTGAATCCCATCTGATTGATTTGGAACCAATTCTATCATTTAGCCAGGTCATTCTGGATCCTAGCCCTACCTTCCATGCCACCCAACTTGGTATCACCTGCAAATTTGTCCAAATCATTAATGATCATGTTAAACAACAGTCCGAGGACAGGCCCCTGGGAGCCCCACTTAATAACTCCTCCCAACTAGACACTGAGCTATTAATGACTATTCATTGAGCACAATGATCTAACCAGTTACATGTTGATCTCACAGTATTGTCAAATAGTCTATATATGCTTAGTTTATCAACGAGAATGTCATGGAAGACCATATCAAAAGCCTTCCTTGAGTGAAAGTATATCACATCCACTGCTCTTCCCCTGACATCCGCAGAACCTGTTACCTTATCATAGAAAGAATAGTTGGTCAGACGTGACTTGCTCTTGATGACCCATGCAGCATGGATTCATCCTGCACTGACAGATTCTCCTCCAAATGGTTTGAAATAGATTCTTTAAGGACCTGCTCCATGATCTTTCCAGAGACCAAGGGCAGGCTAATTGGTCTGTGATTAACTATATATATTAGTTATGTGATTATATGATTAGCTATCCTTCATCTTTTCATGTGTTTTTTTGTTTTTTAATTTTACACTTTAAAAATATTTTTCCACGTATACTTAGCATTGTCTATAGCTGGGGTGGCCCACTATGGTCCACTGACCAGATCTGACCTGCACTACCATGTCATTCTGCTCACAGGGCTCCTAGAGGGGCTGGGAATTTGGCGGGGGCAGAGCAAGTGAGGGAGGCACTGCTGCCAAATTTGGGGTCATGGAGCACCTCTGCTGCATTTTGGAAGCAGCAGGATGAGCAATGGCTGCATGTGGCTCCCCTCCCCGGTGGCTGTGATACCACTCACACCAACGCTGCTTGCCCTGCCACTGGATGTGGGTCTGAATCCATTCAGTAAAGATACTTGTGGTCTGGATCCAGTTTATGACACCCCTAGTCTGAAGCTGATAGCACTATAAGGTGAAGTCCTATATCCATAAAATCTGTTCACTATGAGCAGTACTCATTTTCCCTAGGTCTGTGGTACATTCCTGATCAAAGTGCAGGTGGTAGCGGTAGATTGCTGGAGATTTCCAAAAGGAATCCATTATGGAAATTCCCAGGAGTCTGGCACATCTTAGGGAAGCTGCAGCAATACGCACACAGGTTTTCTTACCCACATGTCCAAATGTGTGAAGGTCTTTCCTTTAGGCTGATAAAACAGAAAACAACGCACTGGGAATCCCTTACCAGTTTATTCCTATTTTCTGTGTAGAGGGACCAGCAGGTTTCAAGTTCACTAGTAAAAAATCATTACCTGCACTGACTCTATGGCCCAGTTTGGAATTACCCAGAGGTAATAAAAGCACCAGTCAGGCTCCGGAGCAGCGAGAGACGCACGGGTGAAAGCCCACCGCGCCCCTGCTCCCCTGAAGACCCCCAGAGACCCCCCAGCAGCCACGGAGCCCCCCCACCGACCCTCAGCACAGCCAGAGGCAAGCGGGGCCCATGGTGAGGGGGTTAACCCCTCTCTGAGTGGAAGGAGGCAGCTGAGTGTAGCCGGGCCCAGGCCCCTACTTCGCCCAGCCCCACAGGGAGCCACGCGAACAGGCTGCGAAAACAGGTGCGCTTGCCTGCCGGCACGTGAGGTTAGCACATTTGCACAGGAGGGTGCACGGGAGGGCCTGAGACCCTGCCTGTGAACCCCCCAGAGTAGACAGTCCCAGCCATAGCCAGC